CTCCCTCCCTCCCTCCCTCCCTCTCTCCCTCTCTCTCTCTCTCTCTCTCTCTCTCTCTCTCTCTCTCTCTCTCTCTCTCTCTCTCTCTGCTTCTGAGATAGGATCTCTAGTCCAGGACAGGACAGCCTCTAATTCCCTAAGTGACCAAAAAATGTTCTTGAACTTCTGATCCTTCTGCCTCCTCCTTCCAAGAACTGAAATCACAGGTGTGGACCACCATGCCCAGTTTAGGCAACGCTGAGAACTGAACCCCAGATTTCATGCCTGCTTGCCACTTTCCCAACCTCAGGTGTTTGGGTTTGTGGAGTATTGCTCTACTCGTTGCCTTTGGGTCTCTCCTAACCTGTGAGTCATATGACAACTCTAAGGGGGTTTCTGGCCCCTCACTGGGCAGTGTCATTGACACAATAATGGTCATTGATCTTTTTTAAACATTGCTGCCAGAGCAGAATAATGATTCAGCCACCACCCTTGGAAAGAACTTCGAGAAGTCCATTCTTAGCAATGAACCACTATCCTCAGGAAGAATTTGGAGATGCAGATTGTTAGTAAAGTTATGTTAAAATGATTTGTTTTGCTTTTTTGTTTTGCTTTTATTTATTTGTTTTAGTGGCTTTGATGCAGAAACTCTCGGGGAACAAATTAAAATTCAAGAAAAAAAACTTTTGATAACTGAGCAAGGGGTTTTTTGAGGTCAGCGAACAAGAACAGTGGCAGCCCGACCAGAACTAACTGACCTGCCACTCTTGCCGAAGCCTGGGCTGGTGACCAAGGTGATGATTAACTTCTTGTACCCATTTTTGCTCTCGACTTCCTGATATGATTTAATAAAAAATTGTTAAGGAGTAGACGTACACCTTGATGATTTAAGGTAGAAACGGCTGGTCGGTGGTTTTTTTTTTTAACATAAAAGGTTAGATTTGTGATTTTTAAAAATATTTTTATGAGATTACTCTTTAAGATAAATAATAAAAGTGATCGAACCTTTCTTTGTCACTGCACACTGCAGCGTGCCAGCACGACAAGCTGCCTGAGGAAGTTCCCTGCTCGCTTACACCTCGTTACTGTAGCACACGTTGCTTAGTTACAAATGCAAATGGTTCTTGGGAATAACTT